TCAAAATAAAAGTGAAATTATTCAAAATGAACACCAGCACGTTTATTGGGATGGTATTCTACGTCTTTGAACCAAATATGAACAAAATCGATTTTTTCAACTTGGCCACGGATTTTCGATTATGTTTGATTTTTACAGACATTGCCTCTTAATAGGGAACCTGCTCATCACACTCGTTGCGCTTGTCTCTACGGTACCAAAGGGAGCTAATCTCCTAGACAGACTTTTTGGCAATCAGCCGCGGAGTCATACAGACGACTTCCTGCTATAGGCCATGGAAGAAGAAGGAATCTACCACGACGAGCAAGTCTGCTAGCTGATGGGGGATACGCTAACGCACCACCTCTTATCACTCCAAGGCGTATTGCTTACATTAGACGACAACAGAATGCCAACAGAGCGCTAAGGTCGCTTCGTATCCGCGTAGAGCAAGCCATTGGATTCCTGAACATTTACTCAGCGACCTCGGATATTTTTCGACACATGAGGCCATTTCAACCCTTTGTAATAGCAACTTGTGGTGCTCTTGCTAATCGAAGGAAAAGAATTCTAAAAACACTGTAATGTTATATATGTTCTTTTTGATATACTTTTCGGGAAAGTAAAACAAACTGGCGTAACACATGTTTACATTAGTGAGAGCAGAAAAATTCCTAGCTTAATACTGTAAACAAATCTCAAGATATGTTGATACTACTAGCGCTTACTAGTCAGTTGTGACTGTTTTGGTGCGTTGAATACAACTGGTGTATAAGAAAGTTCATAAATATATGACGTTTGGAACATTAGTTCTTCGTGAATGAGTAACGTCAGTAACAATAGTTACAAACTTTCTTTCGCAGTTGTTATTTACCTAATAATACATTGTACTAGCTGAGAAAACAGTAAGATAAGGAGTTTTGAAAATTCTATTGGTTAAATCTRGAATAAAATAATGATAGCTCTTTTTAATTTATGCTTTTCCGGTCGGATTATAGAATGCGGAATATACTTTCCCTATGCCGCTAAATCGGAAATGTCTATTGTAGCTTATAGCGGTATTGTATTTTATTTTGATTTATCGAATTATTTACTTTAATATTCGCAAGACAATATATAGTAATTAAAGGATAGTATCTGATAACTAATAATAAGGGATCCTGCTCCATTTCTACTTTAATTATAAGAACTTGAGATTCAAAAACGAAATATCTCGAAGAGGAACATTCAATAAGGGGATTAACCTTTAGGTTAAAAAAACAAGGAGGTAAACTCCTAATGTTCAAAAGTTGGCATCATTTCAAAAAAAGTTGGTCATTGAACTTTTTATTGGAGGATATTGGATTTGAAATTGATAGAAAGCAATAATATCCAATTACTTATTGGTCTTATAAATACAAATCAGTTTAGTCCACACTTACCTAAAACTCGGTGTTACCAATCGTATCTGATCAAAGCACTAGTGACAGTAAAATTCTTGAATAGAAGGAAAAGGTAAATACTTTCATTTTGTGTTTTTCATGACCTATTCTAAGCTTTTTTTAATTGTATGACATTTTTTGCGTTTTTGCTTTTTATTGAAGCTTGACGTTGTTTCGATGGCTGTCATCCAAAGAAAAAGTGTCATCATTTTCCTTTTCCTGTGCGTTCTCGTCTTTCGTAATGTGGAAGGATGGTCCAGACGTCGAAGAAATCGATCAAGCACATGCGATTATGGAAGACCTAGTAACCGTGTTTGGGACAACCACTGGAGGAGTTTGCTCGAATATCAATGTAAGTAATCATATCAAAAACAAATGTTTTCTTTCTCTTTCTCATTCTCTTTCTCCTTCTCTCTATTTTTTTATTATTTTTATTTATTATTATTATTTTTTTTTTATGCTTACCGGCATTTCTAAGAAAAAGTGCAGTTGAAAAACACCCAAAGAGAGGTAATTTATTTTCAGCAAAGCTGAAGAATAAGGATTTTAAAATTAGAATGATCGACAGAGATAATGCCACGTCATATTACGTCTCCSTGAGGAGACTTATATGAAGGCAAGCATTCAATAAACTCTCGAGTAAAAATCGCAGAATTAAGAGCGACTGTCTGTAATAATCGTGAATCGGCCGGCAGTTATGGCGCGCCATTTGTTTCAAATTTCAATAACCTGGTGGCAGGTTAGAACTTATAGCTGGCTGGGAAGGTTTACTAGTATCTGAGTATCTAAGAATATAAAGGAAAAGTAGAAATAAGTTGCAAAAAAGGCAGAGCTTTTATGCCATACTGATTAATCCTCGAACAACTCAATCTGGAACTCCAATTCCAATTCCAATTCCAGTCCTGATGAGGCTGTCTCGATGAGGTTTCACGGACATGCACGGAATTGTATGACTCATTTTAAAACTGAAATGCTTCATTTGAAACGTAAATACACGATAATATTTGATCAAGACCTAACTCAGAATCGTTTTACATYTTATSATTTTCATAATTTATCTTCTTTTTTTTTTTTATGAATCGCCATTTTTTTAACTCTTCGAACGGCTAAGATCAAACCATGAAAAGTGCTTAGCAAATTATTTATTTTGCGTCTTTAATTAAAAGAAATCTTAAAATAAAAATTACTATGTACCTCATGTTCCTTTTTAGTAGACTTTAAAGCTAAAACAGTTAATTTAAGTAAATATATATAGGCCATAAAAATATCCATATTTTCGAGTACTAGTAAATAACAAGTCATATTGAATGAATTTTTAAATTTGATATCGCTTTATCATAAGTTACCTGACTCTTGAAACCCTGTTCTCCTTACTGAACTTCGCTTGTTCGTGAAGAGAATACTGCTCGAGTAGCTGAATTATGAATAGTTAACCAAAAAAAGCTATTGTCCATAAAATTGAATGAAAATTCTTAGAAACGTTCGCTTTCAAGTAATCGTTAAGATATCGGCACGAAATCCTTGTTTACGAGTACATATTGCTTTTCCTAGGGCGGCTGTCTTAAATTACAGCAGTCAACGAAAAAGGGCATGCGTAGACATTAATTTACGTCACATGATCGGTTGCTCCGCCCTTTCTCAATCACTTGGCAACATGGTGACATTGATTGACAGCTGGTACATGCTAATTGATCGGACTGTAGCGGAACAGAACTCTATAGCAGAAGCTCGCAAAAGTCCGATGGGTAATGTCCTTAAAACCCCTGGGCAATTCAGGCAACACTCACAGATGAAATTAATTTATATTACATTATTGTAAATGGTTAATCATTGTCAATGAGGTATGTGGTTCAATGAAACCAAATGCTTAGGTATCCCACAGATGCAAATCCTACCTGGAGTCCATCCATCCATCCATCCCTCCATCCATCCCTCCATCCATCCCTCCATCCATCCCTCCATCCATCCCTCCATCCATCCCTCCCTCCATCCCTCCCTCCCTCCCTCCCAGATTTAAAGGAATTTGCGAATTCAAGCCTTAAACTTAGTGGAAATTGGTCTTTTAGGAGCAATAACGGAGGATTCCATGTTCTTAAGTCCGACACTGTAACTCTGTGTTTCTACACAAACACGAAAACCTTGAATGTTCAGGGAGCGAAACAGGAATCAATGAAGGAAAAGATTATATCTTTTATTTCTGAGGACAACGAGGAACAAAATGGAAACTGTAATGTAGAATCAAGTCCCGAATCAAGCTCTGAATCAGAAGATGAATCTGAAGAAGAAGAAGAAGAAGACAAAGATGGCGTCGAGGAGGGACAAAAGAAGACCGAAGAATATGTTTCAAGTCAACCGAAACACGATGATATTCAAGTTCTTTTCTCAAGTATTAA